AAATCACATTATACATATTCAATCACATTGAAACATAAAATCGATTTGCAACACCACCGTATAAATAATACAAAATTCATACAACATAGAAAAAAAGAGATTCCAAGTTCTTTGAAAAACTAACAAAAAGATCTACATCTTTTATGTTTTAGGATTTTAAAGATCTAGAACCATWATGGGTCGAAAACCAAGTCAAACCCGTAGTGGGTTTGATTTTCGAACAGCATTGCGACACTGTCGTAAACAATTCATAAAAAATTCATACGAAGTCGAAATGATACGATTCAAAAAGCTGTAGAAAGCTAACAGAAATATCTAGGTTTTTCATGTTTGAAGATTTTCGAGATTCAGAACATTTCTTGGACGAAAAAATCAAAACATTTACGAAACAAAAACATACAGCAGCAAAAAAAACAATTTTTAAATATAGCAAGTATGTCACAAAAACCGATGAAGTATATATTTATCCAGAATTCTGTCAACCTCGTCATTTAACATCACCTTGAGAGCGTGACGACATAAAATCTCATTACGAACAAAACAATTACAACTGCAATCATACGAGTTTTCCATCTTGTTCTTAATCACCTATTATATGGGAAGACCAAATCATATTATGAAGTTAAAATAAGATTATACTATCTGGTGCGTAAAACGAAATTGGACAAAATAAATACTGTGTACTTTGTTGTGACCTTAGAAGCCTTATTATTGTGAGTTATGGTGTACACTCTGGTTTCACCAACGTCGGTGAATCCATCCCATCCACAAAGCCAAACAACCTCAACTCTTTCTGAACTTCGAAAAATATCATTCGTGTATACACCTCTGCTGCATGAGCTTCTAACTTGCAAGGAGACACCAATCGAGGAATCGTGCTCGTGGTTGTCAGCTCTAGCGACCTATGTGTTGCCCCCTGACTTTCAATTGCATTATCAAAAGAATGGAGGAAAACAACAAGATCATGCCAAAAAAGTGCATAAACGTTAAAAAACGCATTGATACTCTCCGACTTGGATGTTGTTTTCATTAGGCCGGACATCTGATAATCCTTATAATAAGTCGGAATCCACGACTCCTTGATCTCATACAATTCATCAAACCATGGGTCTCCACGTAATCCATAAAAATTGATCAAATTGTTCCATTGCATCTCAAATTCATTAGGACCAAGGTGAACATTCCACACCAACTTATTAAATTCGCTAACGAACTGTGTACGGTGTTGGAGGTAATTACTAATCTGCCAAGTAAACCATCCTAACAATTGCATTAAAAATGAATATGAAAAAAAAAATTACTGCAATTAAATATCATCGTAATTACCTTTCGATTTCACCTTTTTAGTGATATGCCACATACACAATCGATGCTTGGATTCAGGAAATGCAATGGGAATTGCTTGTTTCATCAACGCACATTGGTTAGTGATAACGAAACGTGGTTGACGTCTATGTGCTTTTACAAAAGCATTTAATACCCAAGTGTAATCAACTACAGATTCATTATGAATCAATGCAGCTCCAACAACGACAGATTTCTTATGATTGTCAATTGCAAAGAACGGAACAAATATCATAGCATGCCTACTAAAAATAAACAATGAAAATTAATACAAGGTATAAGATGGAGTATTGATAAAAACCAACATAATAGTTTAATATCAAGTACAACTTACTTATTGGTCCTAAACGTTGCATCAAATGAGATTGCATAGCCAAATTCCCTATAATTTGATCGTGCAGTCTCATCAGCCCAAAAAATTGCTAACAACTCCTTGTCATCACACTTGTACTCCAAAAAAAACTCAAGACACACCTTTCTCCTATTAGCTATCACGTTTAATAACATTTGTGCGTCTTTATTGCCAATAAAATATGCTATATCACGTTTGAAGTTTTGATGATCTCTTACGGTGCCACCCGATAAATCTACACCACCCTTAACGGCTTTCCTGAATCTATGAGATTTGGTGACGCCACCCTTGGAGATAGAACCATGAAATACATTTTTATGATCAGTGTAATGTAGTTGTCTTTTAGAACGTGAAAACCTCATCTCCTCTTTCAACTATGTAGACAGTGGTTTATTTAGGTAATTTGTCGTCATGGTGTGAAATCATTGCTTCTTCAACAGCAGTTGATGCTATCTAGAGGTTCTTATTTATGCATCTGGGTTCACAGTAGACAATTGGTACTACATATTACAAATGAATCTGATTTCACTGCTATCTAGAGGTTCACAGTAGACAGTTGATTTCTTCAACAACAGTTGTTGCTATCTATAAGATCACAGTAGACAATTGGTACTACATATTACAAATGAATCTTATTTATGCATCTGGGTTAACAGTAGACAATTGGTACTACATATTACAAATGAATCTGATTTCACTGCTATCTAGAGGTTCATAGTAGACAGTTGATTTCTTCAACAACAGTTGCTGCTATCTAGAGGTTCACAGTAGACAATTGGTACTACATATTACAAATGAATCTTATTTATGCATTTGGGTTCACTGATTTCGTTGCTTCTTCAACAGCAGTTGCTTCTATCTAGAGGTTCTTATTTATGCATCTGGGTTCACAGTAAACAATAACATAAAACAACTCATATTGCTCATTAGGCATATATCTTGCATTTGTCTGGTTTCATTACAACTAACATAATAGGTGATTGCAAGTTTGCAATTCTTACGATAGTTATGAAAACAATACAGTACCTTCAGATTCATTACTCAACGATGCAAGTATGCAACATCATCATTGTCAAACTCTGCAGAAACTTCGTCAGTAATCGAGTCACTACGCTTAGGTATTGTTTTATTTCGACGAATGCAACCATCCTCATCCCTAGTTGAATAATTGCATTGATCTTGTGTTGTAATATTATTAGCTGCAGTTGCAATTTCACGAACAGGATCAAAACCTTTACGGTTACTGTTAATGGCATCAATTTCATTAAAAATATACTTGACGAATGTCTCATTGAAGAAGATAGGATCCATAGGAGTATAATAAGTTGAAATCAAACCATATGCTTCATCGATTCCATTTAAATGGTATATATTGTCTATTATTTAGAAATGTTGTAATTACCATAAGAGTTTCAATTAATAATAGTAATTGAATGGTTTCACCATAAATAAGATATATATTAATTTTAATTAAAAATAATTATTATTATGTAAAATTAGCAAAGGACAATATTAACCTTTTCATTTAAAAAAATAATTTAAAAAATTATTCATTGATTGGTTATAAAAGACGTTGTAGGGGTTGTACAAATACACAAAGTTGCAAAAGAAATATACCCTATATAGAGAAGTGATCAAATGAAAATCACCCTCATTTGTAAAAACCGTACAAACCACTCTCATACGTCGATTTCATTGTTTAATCTTATGAAAAAATTTCATGAAATTGTTTAATCTTGTGAAATTGTTTCATATAATATTTAATGAAATTTTAACGAAACTATTTCATGTATTTCTCTAAAATTAAAATAATAAATATGATAACATCCATGATTAACACCCTCCACAATAAAAATGGTTAATCAACCTCTCATAATTACAAAAAAATGAACAAAATGAAAAATTATAATTGGCTGAATGAGGTTTTCACGGTTTTTACAAATTGAGTGGTTTTTATTTGAACGCTCATATATATATATATATATATATATATATATAAACATATATGTATGCATGTGTGTGAGAGAGAGAAAGAAAAACCAACCCAAAACCAGAAAATTACCTCAAGATCGAAAAGATGTTGGTGAACACAAAGCGAAATGAAATCCCGATTGTTTACAGACTCATGTATTGATTGTAAGCCTTAAAATTGTATTCTTGATATTCAATCTTGAAAAATTAAATGATTAACTAATTTGACGATTAAAAGTTTAAAAATAGTATCCCATTCTTTTGTAGGTCATGAATCATGATAGCGAAATTACATTGAAACCTACTGCTGATTATTTAAACGGGTAACGAAATTACATAGAAAACAACTGCTGAATTTTTAAAGGGGTACCTCCTCATTTACAGCCACTTCATCGGAATAATTATGTTATTAAGACTAATTCTATGCGTAGAAATAAAGTTAAATAAGCTAAAACTACATCTGAACAGCTTGTTAGACAGTGTTTCTCTTTGCATGAGCTCGGAAAAGATGCTTAAACGTAAGTTCATTGCCATTCCAGTCCTTGTTCTCTTTCTAATAACATCAGAAGTTCTTCTCTCAGATGCTTCTGATGTTGCAAAGTGTTCTGAGTCTGAATTAAAAGCTCTTCTCAACTTCAGGTCAGGCCTTGTCGATCCTGAGGACCGACTCTCTTCATGGAAAGGAAATAACTGCTGTCAGTGGCATGGTATTGGCTGCCATAAATCCACAGGAGCTGTTTCCAAGATTGATTTGCATAACCCATATCCTTTGGCTGGCAGGTATGGTTTCTGGAACCTGAGTGGTGAGATTAGACCTTCTTTGCTCAATCTCAAGTACTTGACTTACTTTGACTTGAGCTACAATACCTTTCTGGACATCGAAATCCCTGAGTTCATTGGTTCGTTAAGAAATTTGAGATATCTGAACCTTTCGACAGCCGGGTTTAGTGGTCGAGTTCCTCCAAATATGGGAAACCTCTCTCACTTGCAGTATCTTGATGTTTCAACCAACTTTGGTAGTTTAACAGTCAACAATATTCGGTGGTTGACCAAGCTCAGTGATTTAAAACATCTCAAAATGAATGAAGTTGACCTTTCGATGGTAGATTCAGACTGGTTGGGAGTGTTAAACAATCTTACTTCACTAACAATACTTCATCTTTCAAATTGTGGACTTCCCAGTTACATATCAGCTCTTTCGCCGGTTCATCTTCCATCTCTTTCAGATTTAGACCTCTCAGTGAATAGCTTTGATTCCAAGTTTCCTGAATGGATCTTGAACTTGACAAGTCTTTCTTTCTTAGATTTAAGTAGCTGTGGATTGTATGGAAGAGTGCCGCTTAGTCTAGGTGAACTAGCAAATCTGTGGTATGTGAACCTTGCCATGAATAACAATCTCACAGCTAGCTGCACACAGTTGTTTAGTGGAAGCTGGCCAAAAATTGAGGTTCTTGACTTGGGTAAGAACAAATTACATGGTAGACTTCCTGCTGCCATTGGCAACATGACATCTCTCACTTATTTGAGTCTGTCTGATAACGACGTTGAGGGTGGAATTCCTGCTTCTATTGGTAAACTTTGCAACTTGAGGTTTTTGGATGTTTCAGGGAACAACATGACAGGATATTTACCTGAGTTTCTTCAAGGGGTTGAAAGTTGTGTATCCAACAGCCCCATGCCTTATCTGCAGATAATGAGATTGACCAACAACAAGTTAGTTGGAAGACTGCCTGAATGGCTAGGTCAGTTGGAAAATCTTGAAGAAATGGGATTAAATTACAACCATCTTGATGGTCCAATTCCTGCTTCTTTAGGGAGATTGCAACGACTAACCGATATGGGACTTGCAGGGAACAAGTTAAATGGGAGTCTTCCAGAGAGTTTTGGTCAGTTATCGGAGTTGATCATCTTTGATGTCTCTTTCAATTCTCTAACTGGCATCGTCTCTGAAGCCCATTTCTCGAATCTAAGTAAACTGACATTCTTGCACCTTTCTTCCAATTCCTTGGCTTTAAGTTTCAACCATGGTTGGATCCCCCCCTTCCAGATCAGATTTCTGGACCTGGGCTCATGCCAAATAGGTCCATCCTTTCCGGATTGGCTCAAAACTCAGAAGGAGATCAACTTTCTTGATCTTTCAAATGCAAGCATTTCTGATTCTATACCCAACTGGTTTTGGGACATGTCCTTTAACCTATCCTTGTTAAACATTTCCCTCAATCAGATCCACGGGCAGCTACCCTCTTTATTTGATGTAGTTCCCTTTGCAGATATTGATTTGAGTTTTAACCTGTTTGAAGGACCTATCCCTCTTCCAAGTGTTGAAATCGAATTACTTAGTCTTGCCTTCAACAAGTTTTCTGGTGTTATCCCATACAACATCGGGAAAATCATGCCATATCTAATCTTCCTCTCGCTTGCAAGTAACCATTTATCGGGAGAAATCCCATCCTCTATAGGAGAAATGGTGTCACTTGAAGTCATTGATCTGTCATCTAATTCTTTCACGGGATACATTCCTCCAAGCTTTGCAGATTTCTCATACCTTAAAGCCTTGGACCTTGGATACAACAAATTGTCAGGGTTAATTCCTGAATCTTTCGGCAACTTACAACTGCTCCGGTCACTACATCTGAACAACAATAACTTTTCAGGAGAGCTCCCTTCATCTCTTAAAAACTTGTCGAGCCTGGAGACATTGGATCTAGCAAACAACAGATTTTCAGGAGACATTCCACCATGGTTAGGAAATAATCTTGCAAGTCTCAAAATTCTAAGCTTGAGGTCAAACTCATTTTCTGGACGAATCCCCAGAAATTTTCCGGATTTATCCAATCTACAAGTCCTAGATCTTGCGATAAACAACTTGAGTGGCATGATTCCCACAAACTTGGGCAATCTCACTGCGATGTCTCGTGACCATATTGTCAATCAGTATCGGTTTTATGGTTTTTACAGAGGAATGTACTACGAAGAAAGGCTGGTTGTGAATCTTGAAGGCACGTTTCTAGAGTACAACAAAACTCTTTCCCTAGTAGCTTACATGGATCTCTCACAAAACAGCCTTCATGGCCTTTTCCCAACCGAATTAACCAAGTTGATTGGTCTGAGGTTCTTGAATCTGTCAAGAAACCAGATCAGCGGTTGCTTGCCAGACACCATTGCTAATTTAGGGCAATTGGGTTCGCTTGACCTCTCAAACAATAACTTTTCTTGTGTCATTCCATCAAGCCTATCATCATTAACGTTCTTGGGTCGTCTGAACTTGTCCAATAATAACTTCTCGGGTCGGATCCCTCTTGGAACTCAGATTGGAACCTTTGGAGAATCTTCTTTTGCTGGAAATCCGAATCTTTGTGGAGCTCCCCTTGCGGTTAACTGCAAAACTAACAGTTCAGACGGCACACGGGGCGTCCCAAATGACAAGAAAGATGAAGGTGACAACGATAATTGGCTGCCTTTGAGTGTTGGACTGGGATTTGCTACTGGCATTTTGGTTCCCTTGTTGATGTTGTCAATTAGAAGACCTTGGAGCGAGGCCTACTTTAGATTTGTCGAAAATGTGGCTCGTAGGATTACCCCCGGGAGCTAAACTAAAAGCAGCACGAGTCGGTCTCACAGTGACAGATGAAGAACCCGGCCATATCCTCGATGAAACATTCTGTAGGTATTTTAGAAATCTTGAAGGGTTTTACAAATATAATATAAATTGATATATGAACGTTTATAAATAAAACTATGCAAATATTTAATCGAGTTGTGTTATTTATAATTATTATATGAAAAATTAAATAGTATTTGAGGATAATTTGATCATTTAAACATGTATTTTTTCATTCATTCATGTTGCATGACTCATACCAAATTTAGATATATGTTAAGCATAGTTTTTTGTACCCGTAAAATAGTTACTCAATTATTTATAAAGAAATTACCTTACAAACCGGCATGGAACACGATCCATTAAATGTTTAAAAAAGATACATTAATTACAGTTGTTTTACAAACCATATGGTTGAAAATCATACCATAACTGAAGATGGTTGGATTGTAGCCGATTTTTTAATTGATGCATTACAAGTATTTAAAAATGCAACCGAACAATTATATGGTTTATATCATCATACTAGTTGTTTAGTGCTTAAAACATATTTATATATATTACTTTTACAAATATACTTTTATTTATTTTACAGTGAAACGTAATTATGAATAAATATGTAATTTTATAAATATTTTTAGTTGCTATGAATTTTTTATTTCATTTCACTTTCTTTCCTTTTTCCTTCCTTACCTTCATAAAAAGAACTCATAAGAATCTTAGAGTTGGTAACCGGTTATAACCAGGACCAGCATAACCTGCTAACAGTGTACAAATTTCATAATGGGGACTGGTAGTAACAGATTACCGGCACGACCGGTTAACCAAAATACCCAAAGTTGGTGCATAAATTTTGTATCTTCAACCCTATACCGAAACTATTTTACAAGTAAACTCACCTCCAAGAAATCATCCTGCAATAACTCAATCACTTGAAAATAAATAAAGTGATTAATAATAATACATCAAATATTCCCTGCTCAACATGTGTTTCTGTATTTTCCAAAAAATCAAGGCTCTTGCAATTCTCTCCAAACTAATTTTTACAGGCTCGTATCCGGGCAACTCCTTGATATCGATATTTCTATCGTACATTTTGAAGAAATGGCTCTCATGTCTTGAATCCTACTTGGGTCATCTTCCTAATTTTCCGAAGGATTTTTAGGAAAATAGGAGGTAAAGAGGCACAAGAATCTGATGTGTGTAAAGACGATCAAAACTGTGAGTTACTAAGAAATGTGACCATGCATCTGGCACTCTGAAACAGCCCATCTAACTTCTGCCATACACCAGATTGAGCTTCCAGAAGCTTCTGTGCCTTGGCTTGTAACTTGGACTGCCGTCTAATAGTTTCCCCATGTATCTAGCCACAACAAACCATCAATCAACATTTTTATGAAGCAATCATCTCAAAATCCATTAAAACACATTGAAATCTGAACTTTGAAGCAAGGGCAGAATGTGTAGCGAAGTTTGTCTAAGCGGCAGTTTACCAAATGCTTACTGCGTAAGTATTTACCGGCAAGAGTCACCACCCTCATTTTACCTTATCGGATAGCATCCAGGGCCATGAAAATAAATTGTTGGTAAGCATCTCTTACCCGACAAGCACTAACAGGGTAAGAGTCTTCTTCCTCACTTACCGGGTAAGATTCTCAGTCCTTGCTATGCCTCTTCCCGGATAAGATAAGTGACACTTGGTAAGCACTTACCCGGTAAGCATTGGTAAACAGCCCCCTAGTTCCCATTTATGAGCCGTTTACCAAACGCTTACCGGGTCGCTTACATGGCAATAACCAATAACATTACCTAGTTAGAACGAAGGCAAGGACTGAGAGTCTTACCCGATAAGTGAGGGTGGAGACTCTTTAGGTAATTGTTGCACAAGATGCCGTTTTGACGGACTAGAATCTTACCCGGTAAGGTAAGTGAGTTTTGACTCTACTGGTAAGCGTTTGGGTAAACGGCCCCTTATTGTCACCGATAATTTTTTTCACAACAATGTAAAAAGTTGCAAATTTTCTGATTTTGTACCAATTTTGATCAGTAACCTGCTCATCTTGTAACATTTGATGACGTAAATACCACGTTTATCGTCCCTTTTCCCATAACCCTTTCGTAAACAGGTATCCACGCCATCAAATGTTAGAAGAACAGCTAGTTAAGAGGTTAAGAAGGGTACAAAAGAGAAAAGTTCGAAAATTTGTTACATCCATTAAGAGATAAATTTCTTCATTACACTAAATAGGAACTAAACCAAACTTTGTTGCATTTTGCCCTTTGAGTAGACGTTCAAACGTGTGTACCTTCAAGAACAATCGGATGACAGCTTGTATGAATTCAAAGTTGTTTCTGAATGATATTTCATGTATTAAATACTCGAGTATAAGTTCAAGAATCAACAACTCTGGTCTATTTTCTGGTTCTTGCTCATCATCATCATCAATAATCTGAAGCATCCTTAGTTCCACATCCAATGTTGAAGGAGATAAACCTTTGAGATAGTCTGTGAATGCCTCAACTGAGAAGTGTGAAGCATGATACAGATATTAAAACGATATGGAACAAGGAAATACTTGAGCATAACTCTTTTTTAAGTAGGCAAACCTACATTGATGTCATGTCTCAGGAAAAAAAAAACACAGATATCAAGATGCATTTTGTCCTCGGGACCAAACAGAAAGTTACAAAATTAACTACTCCCTCCATCCCAAAATATATGTCCACAGTGAAAAAGGCATACAATTTTTAAAATGTCTAATTATTACACTTTTTAATTAATAAAATGTCAATTTTACCCATAATAATAGAGGAAAGAATTTTAAATCTCATAATTAAGAGTAGAATTGGAGAGCAGTTGTGTACTTTGAAAGTGCCCTTCTTTTATGTGGACGCTTATTTTGGGACCAAGGGAGTGGTATATAAGAAAAAGAGACATAATGAACTCGACAGCTGGCTAAACAGCATAGGTTTTCCCCCCCCCCCCCCCCCAAAAAAAAACAGGATCAGAACCAAGTGAAACGTAATGCATGCTTTTTTAAGCAGAAGGATTATGAAAAGAAAATAAAACCCCAAACAAGAATGGTTCTGCTAAATAGTCAAAACGTCTAAGGGTTGACCGGTAAGTCAATCAAGCTTCACTAGATTTGTATGACTACAATTCATCTCCTCAATTACTGTTCCATAAAAAAGGGGTATTCACAAGCTTAGTTTGTCCGAATTCTACAAATTTCAAGAACATTATATTTGACTAAGGAAGAATGCCAACAGGTGAATGATGTCGATATTTTAATGAAAAATCCAAACGAATATTAAATTTGAATGTTTTAGGGGCAACCTCATCATATGTACCTCATTTAGGAAGAAGTAAATGGGCCCATTCTTCAATTAACAATGTAAAAATAACTTAAATATCAGAACTTACAGTTCTCTGTCTCAACAGACGACTGGAGGAATTGTACAAAGGGTGATGAGGGCAGATCCGTACTTCTGGCATGTTTATCAAACTCATCAGCTTGTGTTTCCTTTCCTTCATTATTTGGCTCACTCACCTTGAACAATATTTCTCCCGAGAGGGATGGTATTGATGGTAAAAAGAAAGGCGCCTTTTCAGGTTTTTTTGGAGGCTCAATCGGCTTGTTGCGGGCCTGAAAATTGCAAAAAAAATAGTTATAATTACATGTATTATTCATGCTGAATAATCATGAATATCATGCATTTTCATTATTCATGATATCATACATTTTCAACTAATATCATGTATTCTGAATAATTTTCATCATGAACGTGTATCACCACATTCATCACGCATAAACATGAATAGTTGGTTTTCAGGTTCTCAAAATATCTACGGTTTTAAAACATACATATATATATATATATATATATCAACTTGCTCATAAAGTATGTGTTCTCAAACATTGTTATTCCTTCAAAAATATTGAAGAATAATGCATGTTTGAAGAGAGAAATAGAGAGAGAGGAACCTTTATGATATCCAAATTGATCAAGCTTTGCCACTGGCTCTTCGGCAGCAGTGAAAGTGTAACTAGGTCCGGGATTTGTTGCTCACTCACTAGAGTGTTAGTAGTGGCCTGAGGCTGAGAGTTGCTTAAAGCAGGCTTATCAGAATCATCATCGTCTTTAGAACCCTCTCCAGAAGAGATGGGAGGTAATTTAACATTCACTACCTCCTTTCCACTTCCATATGAATCATTATGTGGGGCTCCGGAAAACATTGTCTGGTTTACCCTGAAAAGACAGAACCATACATGTTTGAACTTACTTTAAAAGCTAATATAAGAAGCTGTACCGTAATTACTTTGTTGATATACTTCCTCCATCCCATGCAAATTAAAATGGTTGGATCCGTATATAGTTGAAGAATATTGTTTAATCATTTGTCAAATAACTAAAATACTATTTAACAAAGACAGAAGCAATCACGTGAACCCAAAATCATTTATATCAACAATTTATTTCTACCATTCAACAATTTAACTGTTCTTGGTTCTTTTCAAAAGTTGGCTTTCTTCCTCTCTTGTCTCAAGTTCACCACTTCCCGTTTCTTGGCTTTTTTCCAACCTTTTGGGTCTTCACGGAAACAGACACTCTACTCTTTAGTATAGAGGACAGGTCTGTGTACATCACACCCCTCCAAAACCCCACCTCCGGGTTCAGATATCCTCAGTTTGGTTTGGTTTGGTTTGATAAAATGAGAAAATAGTAATCTTAGCAAGAAAACCTACTAAAGATCAAAATAATGCAAATTTGAATGGGCATCCCAAAGGAGAGTCGTGTAATGTTCATGGAACCGAGGGAGTATTATATGCATTCAACCTTTTCATCCTAGAGTCCAACGAGAACAACAATTGCTGCATGTCTACTTTCTGAAGGAAAAAAATCCAAAGCTTTTAAGGTCCAATAATGGATCATAACAACAAAAACATGATACCAAGATGTAAACATGAGCAACTGCTTACCAGAGGTAGACTCCATTCTGATCAACATGAGTTGTTGCCAAAACATCCATATTGGGCGATAAAGACAAGGCAGTAATAGATACATCAACATGTATAGCATCAATCTGCCTGGCTAAGATGATATCCCAAATCCTAAGAGTGCCATCCATACTGGATGACAAAAGCCATTTTCCGTCCTCACTAAAACAAATGTCAGTGATCCTATCAGTGTGACCTTCAAACTTACGAACCATTTTTAGTGCCACAACATCAAACATACGGATGATTAAATCATCCGTAACAGTAGCCAAAAGACCTGAAATCATTCAAGAAGCCTCATCATAAACATGTGTGCATTTCGTGCATGTGAGTGACAGAAGGCAAAAGGCATACCATTAGAACGGTGGTAAATGATCTTAACCACTGTGCAACCAATTTCCCATCTGGCTTTCAGATCACGCCCTTTAAAGCTCCAAACCTAAAGCATTAAATGATTTGAGTTATGCAGAAATCAAAAAAAAGTTAGATCACTAAATACATAAAACATAAAGAATACCAATAATATATTTAAGTTTTATATCAGCTCCAGTAGAGATGATACTATAACATTTAACTAGTGCATGCCATTGTATCACTCGTATGGCACTAAACAAGGTACACTAATGAGTGGGGTTGGATAGCACACAGTAGAAAGCAAGACAAATTCCTTCTACAAGCATTGAAAACATGTTCTCTCCGTCCCAAGATCAATTATTACACTTGAATGCTGGCAAAGATAATGAGTTTAATTCATAAGTTAACCAAATATCATGTCAGATTGTTCCTTCTTCACATTAAGTCAGAGATAATTTTTAATACTAAGAATGGTCAAAAGCTTGTCCATAATGATTGCCAACTGACATTTAAACACAGGACAACCAAAAAAGTAGAATGTATCAGATGTTGTAATGAGTTAGTATTTAAATATCACAAATCAACATAATTAGAAATCTTTTTGACTTCAAAAATGCAATGTTCATCTTGCTATAGCAAATACGCAAGGACTTGAAAAGGACACATAAAACCAGCGGAATTTCACCATTTACGCATTTACTGACAAACCCATTTATGTTGCATGCCTTTACCCACTCCAGATAGATCTAAGGGGGTGCTTGGTTCATTCAAAAAAGGGAATGCTGAATGGGAATGGGAATGAGTTCCATTCCTCCCAATATATTGACGAATGTTTCGTTACCCCGTATCCAGTGATGGCTCAATCAATTTCATCAAACCAAACACCATTAATGATTTCCATTTCCATCCCCCACCCTTATTACACCCAACCAAGCACCCCTTAAATATCTTTGAAGGCTCTCTTTTGAGTTTATAAGACATAATTTTACATAAAAACCTCCTTCAAGGATGACACGTTAAAATGCCAAGCATCTCCACAGCTGTATCTCTTGAGATCACAAGAAAGTAATTAAAATGTAACCATATATTCACAGCTTTAAAACAATTGCCTATCATGGATTTAAAAGATATACCTTTATATCCCCATTATATCCTGCACTGATCATTAGGGAATTTGTTGAATCACATGCTACTCCAACCACCTCTCTATCATGAGCAGAGCTTCTTTTTTCTGACATGTCCACATATGATCCTCGGCTCATGCCTGATTGAAGATTAAATTTTTCAATCCAACCACCTGCTGTGCCTAATATAGCAAAATTGCCACATGAACTGATAGTGCAGGCCTGCCATCAGATAAGAAGTGCTTATTGAACTGCCCTTCATACATAAATTGGATAGAGAAAAAAACTGCACCAAGATATGATGTGCCTCATGCACATCCTACTCCAAATACATGAAGGAGAAAATATCAAGAAAGATGCTAATGCTGAGAAGTAATAATACTCAAGACAGCAAATATATTCTTTCAAGTAGCAATAAGCAAATAGACCGTGTTGCAAATTATCGTAATACATCAAATAATGACAAATGGCATAGACTTATTACCTTCACTGGAGTTTGAACATCTGCACTAGGTGTCAGGATATGTTCACCCAGAACAAAATTTTGCAGCCTCCAAACATATGCATGTGCAGTATCCATATGACATGTAACTACATTGGACCAATCCCGTTCCCTAATTTCAGCTAATAAAATTAGCCCAAAAACAAAACATCAGATGACAAGCTTGGATAGTGATCTGAAGTATTGCCAAAACAACAGGTTACAAAGTTGAGATAGAGAAAAGCCAGAAATAAGATAGATGACATACCAACATCAAATGCAATCACAGGCTTCAGTTTTATTTCTTCTTCCTGAAACATAACATGTTTAAGAAATGTAAGAAGAAAAATATGTATGTCAGTGTATATGCCAAAAAATATGTTTTATCATACATGATATATGCTCAAGTTGACGTATGATCTCACTATAGATCTTTTATTATGGTGCAAAAGCTTGTTATCGCAGAATGAAAGATTTATGAAAGCTTATGGTTCTAGAAAATGAAGATGAACAACCTTTAATGTAAGCTCCATCTAGATCATTGAATGCTTCTAAAAGAATATCATAATTTGGAATGCATGAGCTAACCATTTTGTCCTAACCTATAGGTTGCATGACATTCTCGTATTCAAATATCAACCTCAATATATATTCACCATTAGTAAGTAGTAACCACAAAAAGGAGAAAACATATGCAGGACAAGTTGTTCGAGAAAAGCCTTCTTAGAACAACTAAGATGACAGCACAACATCATTGTTCATCAGGAGATTCAATTTATAAAAGTCAAATGATCATCTACCTTCTTCATTTGCACAATAACGAAACTCTACAAGATGTGCCAAACCATTATACACCTCCAAATTCTGGATGGTAATCAGGATTTGGACTCTGTTATTACATTGAACAGAGTTCCAATATAGTTTTATCATGAATTGAATGTAATTCTTTGAACAAGACCATTAAATAATTCTGGGTATAGGACATAACTTGTTCTCATGAGTGCAGCAGCAACAGAAATAAGGAATATTTATCGGATGAATATTCAGAGTTGTGCAGTGTTCTATTAACTATAAGGAACAATGGTACATGCCTGTGAAAATTATAATGGGAAACCTATCACAAGAACACATACTGAACACTTTAAGTACTCAAGCATGTTTCAGATCCTCGGCATGCCTTCACTGCTTATTTTCAGTAGAAGGATTACTTCTAGTCTACACATAGACCGTGATTCACGTATTTGTCATTAATATAAGCATATAACTGAACAACTTATTTTAATGGATGCCATCTCACACTTAAAAACTAATGGAATACCATATTTGAAAATAAAGGCATCTTGCAGCTTTAAAATAGTATTAAAACATTAAATGCTCCACATACACTAAATGAAAAGAAAATAAAAGACAACATTGCAATGAAAAAGAACATAAATGCCATGATCATCCACATATATTGTACACTTCCATTGTACAAGGTGATACACAACACATCCAAAAAGACTCATCATACCTTCAATTTGAGTTTCTTTGCTCTTTTTGTTACATGACGCTGAGAAAGCTCTCTACTTTGTTGATCCTGATTGCAACAGAAATAAATAAATATAAGATGCAAGAAAACCAATTATTAGAAAATTCAAATGTTTAACTTCAACTACACCTAAAGCGCTACAATAAAAGAAGAAAACCTTACAGGCTGAAGAAAGTGAGAAGACATGAAAACATTGAAGTTAAGTTCAAATCCACCCAAAACATTTTATTACTCGTCACCGACACAGCACAAGAGTAATAGTACCCATAAGCTTCTAGACAAACCCACAAGATTCACTCAACACAACATTTGAGGCTGCATAGCAGAATCAAAAAAAAGACTTGATCTGTATTGGCTATGCCACAGGATGAACGGAACATGTTCAAGGAACAACCAGCAAAACACATGCAGGTATAATATACGAGATTGTAACAAAATCATCATGGGCTCTTCTAAAATTTGTTATCATCTGAAAATACAACTCTAATATACATGAAACTATCTCAAATCATAATAATAACACCAAGGCCCTGTTCACATGGGATTATTGGGGAGCCATTCAACTAGATTGACGATATTATAAAGCCCATGACCTGTCATTATCTTTTCCGGACATGATAAAATCCCGTGACAGTTTACAAATTTCATACTGGGACAGCATTGCAATTACAACGTCTATTTTTGTTTACCCCCACTAGTTGTCGTCAAAGTAGTTGCATATAATGAATCATCCAAACAGAAGTTCCTAATCACGAAAAGGTTTCAACTCCTCCACACCTATTTCTGTGACTAAAAGAGACAATGGATGAATAGAAAATAATGTAGATTTTCAAGAAGGGGGACCAAGGTTGTTAAAGACGCAAGACTCACTTAGGCGGAAAGGGGTCCTGGGGCCTAGGCACGAGGCACGGACCTCGTGAATGCAGGCGCATCGTATAAAAAAATAATATAGATATACACACATAGTAATACACAACTCAAATACCATTATATACAAAGTAGTAATATCAACCCAAAACCATTATATAAAACATAGTTCAATTTCAATTTCCAAAATGTAGTAATATCAAACATATCTCAATAAAGCATAAGACAGCAACCAGTAGTCAAGAAGAGAGCCGTCAGGAAAGGTTGAAAGCCATGAGGGAGAGTATAATGTACGGGTCATATTTATAGGAGATGACTGATTAGAAGTGAAATATTGAATAGAGAATTGAATAGACTTATCTAAAAACCCTTTTTGTAGAAGTCTAGGAGGTCAAAAGACATCATTAATATTAGGTTTTAAGAGTTCTGAGAATATTTTATTCTTTCCGGCTCGGTACAAAACCTTCTTTGATTTATTTAATAACTCTTCTTTAGAAGTCTAAGATACAAGATAATTATTTAAAATTAGGGTAGATCTACAAGGTGCGCCTAACCCCATTATGCGCCTCAGCCAAGGCGCTGCGCCTTGGTCTGCCTCAGTAACTCGCCTCGACATGGAAAAAGCCCAGCCCTTTGCGCCTCAGCGAGCCTCAGGCACACTTTTCACAACTATGAGGGGGGGAACCAATAGTTCTTGTCAATGACAACTTTGATTAATAAAATGAGGACGAGAACCAGGATTTTTAGAAAGAACAAAAGCTAATGACTAATAATGATAAAGACCAATTACATCAGCACTTAAAAGGGAATTAAAAGAAATCACATCCCCATCGGTAGTGGAGTGAGAAGAATATCTTCACAGGGTCACTTCGATTCAGAAGAGTAAAATGGTGAAACTCAAATATGCTAATATCCAGCTCATATGCAGTATCAAACAATCATTCTGATTGCGTATTCTTTGTCCGGACATTTCTGAGAATTTAGGCTAGCATTTAGCACCTCAACACATAATAAGACAAACAGTACCTAAGTCCCAAATATTCCAAAATCCAAATTATCGTAAAACGCCCAATTATTCGAAAAATATATAACTACATCAATCCCTACCCAATTGAACGCTGGACTTGAGCCAAATAACACTCTAATATAGTGTTCCTTGGTCCTAATCTTACAATTCCCATCACCTATTAATATAATCACAGTAATTCCTGAAACCAACAGCACTTAAAACGGATTTGACCGTACTTCATATGCCCATTACTTCATGCATCCATTACTTCATATATGCATTACTCATATGCCCATTGCTTCATATCTCCATCACGTATACCGGCCTTATGTGATGATACAAGAAATTATCTCAATATTTCAAAAACTTTAAAAAAACAATCTCACAATAAAGTATATGCGTGTGCACGTAAATATATACAAATACATGTTACTATACACATGTATGATACATGAATGTATATGCATACACATATATATAATACTGCAAGTGTAAAGATGGTATCCAACCTGAATAACAGAAAAGAGGCGGAATGCACGATCTTGACCAGCAGATAGAATGTGTCTCCCATTAGCATAGAACCTGGAAAGTGCTCCCAGCAATTTCAAAAGACAATATAGCCATATCTCCGTTCATAAATTAACATATACACATTTTTTTGTATGTCAAATACACATTTTTTGTATGTCAAAAGAAAGCTAAAATAAAAGGTCAAGTTTCTTTCACATTATTGGCGTAAACAATGCACACATATGACAAGTTTCAGGTTATTATAACATCATATTACCGTATACAAAGAGGAGGCGCACTGTGCCCACTTCGAAACCGTAGCAAACGAGGATCGCCATCACTTGTATCGAAAATCCACATCTACAAGGACATATGAGGTAAGATATGTTTAGTACCCTTCATTTGATATAGAATTGCCACAAACGATGTGCAAATTTGGAAAGATATGTTTGTGGCTACAGGAATGTGGCCTGTACTGATGCTGGACACTAATGATAGAAAAAGGCTTCTACTGGTGATGACTTTGAACAGGATTTTGTTACAAGTCCCATTTTAATGATGAAGTTTTATGAATCATATTATATAATGTGGAGTCTTCAAATTCTTAAAGCACATACATAGCGTAAATCATATATAACTTGAAAATGGATAAGCACCTCCTGGTCCTTGGTTCCTAAGCAACAAAAATCATAGGTGGCCTACATAAAAAGATGATAGCATGTGGTAAAGCATTTTGGGTAACTATTTTTAAGGAGGTTCATGTTACATTTTGGTTTGTAGTTAAATATCTAATCATTGCAATGTGTGTTGGATGAACTGTGAAATAATTCGAGAGCAAAGAAATGCAAGAATAATTTATGTTAGAATTTTTTTAATTTTGAAAGTGCATACATATATGTCAGATAACCTTAAAATGCATAGGGCACCTTGAGATGCCTTTTTCCAGGCCACAAACTCATGTATAAGGCCTTGGTTTTGCTTCGCATTGTAACAACTATATGTTGAAGAAGAGTCTTAATGTCAATGCACAACACTCTTAATATGATTTCAGAGAGATTCAAAAACAATAAACAGTATATATACACACATATTGGAAAAGAACTCAATTCCTATGTATGGCAAATTGAACTCAATTCCCATGCACGGCCGGCGATAGTCCTCAAAGTCAACAATGTACTCATGATGATACTTCTAGCCACACACCCAACTAGATAGATACAAATACGTGTCATGTATTTATCTTGTCACATTGGCAAAGATTAAATGAAGCTTTACGATTTTCAATTAGGTTTGCATTGGTTTCATGATGAAAGTCAAGTATTTCAATTTTTTTGGTAACCGTGGTGTATGGCTCTTTAACCCAACTAGTCTACTGGGTTCATGCAAAACATGAACTACACATATCTTTAGACAAAGTTTAGAACTCCCAACCAATAAAAGGTGGCTCCTAATGGATTGATAGCACCTACACAGATTCAAATCACAAGATATAATGCTTCATGAGGCACCATATGACCCAATGAATGCCGCTAAGCCAACCCCTTGGTGTCAGCTGTTGCAAATTAACATGAAATATTATGGCATGAACTTGATTAGTCATGACATTTTCAAGTTAGATTTGCCTTGAGTTACAACAGTCCTACAAGTGAAATGCAGATAATGTCGTCGGAGGGTCCATTATTGCAGATTAGCACAACAGCTTGCCTTTGCACATTGTGTGCTTTGGTTGGTAAATATACAGCACAACAAAAATCGGAAAGACCATGTAGTGTTTCCTCTTTACCTTTATAGAGTTGTCTGCAGATGTACTCATTAACACTGGTTCATTAGCAAAGAAATGCAATGAAATCACAGAGCTATCATGCGCATCTCTAATAACAGACTGGAGCCTCCTCTTTTCAAGATTCCATATGCTTATGACACCAGACGAGCCTCCAGATGCTAGGAGAGGTTGACCATCTGTAAAATAAAATCAAAATTGTCACTTACTTGACAAGGACAGAAGCAATTGCTAAGGAAATATACAGATTTAGACTGAGAAATTCAGAAATAACGATATTCCAACCAAACAAGAAATTATAAATCTCCCTAGCAAGACTCAATAATTCATCTAACAATACATCCATGGACCTTATTAAATATCTCAAGTGAAAGTCTCTTCAATACTACTTGTGGTACCACTTCCCATCTTCCACCACCTTTGTTGATCCCATCTTCATTCCTCCAATTATCTAACAATAATTCCATGGACCTTATTTAATATATCAAGTGACAGTCTCTTGGATACTATTTGTTGTACCACTTTCATCCGCTTTCCTTGTTGATCCCATCTTCATTCCTCCAATTATCCTCAAATGAGATAAATAGGACCCAAAATCTTGTGTTTTTATCCTTAGATCATATAAACAGAACATATAAAATATTGGGAAATAGCCTAAATGGGTATTGCCTTCCTTTCAAATGGTGGTGCCAACACCTTTTGAAGACACTCAATATGTTAATATATATTATCATATCCATCCTAAAGAGACCACAAACTAAACAGCATAATGCAGGGTTGATGTTGATCTCAAGTTACTTGCTTGTGCAAACAATATGCCTTGACATTAAACATAAACCATACAACATAATTGGACATGCAATCATCCAAAAAACTTCCCTTGAAGTTGCAAGGATTTTTAAAGAACCAATTATATCCATCTTTCCACCTCATTCATTTTCACCTTTGTGAGCATCCTCCATCCCTTCATCCACAACATTGACCCGAAGTTCCATGTTTGAATGATAGATGGGAAAAAAATCAACAAAGAGGTCATGAAATGCCAAATACAACCATGCACGTATGCTCTTCGATGCTAGCCATAGATTTAGATAGGTCAAGAATACGAAAAAATTAACATTCTTAATTACATAATTTTACCACCTACTCCCAAGGCCCAACTAAGTAAACCACTGAAGCTACAACAATTCTAGACCAAATAATAATACAAAAGTCGTATATTTCAGTTAAAGCCCACCTGCACAACAAGGTGATAGGGTAAAACTAGAAGAGCAAGCTCCAGATGCAGCTAAGTGCACAAGTAAGTTAAACTTGATATTATCATGATGCATAACTCAGGTGTCCTGTTACAAAAAATAAAATGGTACATTCTTCAACAGTAATCAGTCCTTTTGAGATCTTACCAGTTCTGAATGACAAGGCAGTCACAGCACCTCGAGTGGATTGACTAAAGGTAACTACTTCTTCATCGTAACGAACATTGTGAACATGAATCTTTCCATCAGCACAGCCAACAGCAATGACATCTAAAGCCGGAGAAGAAACACAACAACTTATAGATGATTTCCAGCCTTTGAATTCATAAAGTTTTTTCTTTGTGCTGATGTTCCAAAGTTGAAGCGAACCATCCTGACCTCCAAGAATCACCTGTTTAAACACTTCAAATAAGTTACTCTTGAGGAATACGTAATGAAGCAGCAACAGATGTCCTTCAAATTGAAGCTAAACGGATACCTTGTTTAGGTAAGTGTCCGGATGCATGATACAACTCGGAGTGAATTCGCTATCTAGCAAAATATGTCCAACTGGAGAGAGATTTTCATCAGCTCCTTTGAAGGCCCATATGAAAACATTGCCTTCTACATCAACGCTAAGGATGTGTTCTCCAAATAGCAGCAACAAGTTAACCTTGGCATTATGTCTGCTCCATGTAGCCACCTGTTTGTATGCAGTCTTTCACCTCAATTTGCATAATTGTATGTTTCAAGGAAATACCTAAAAAGGCATTAAATCCCTCGTCTTTTTTTGCATACAGTTAAATAACTATAATAAACAACAATAGTTACTGTTGCTACACATGCAGTAATTTTTTGACAAAGTAAATTTTCAAGAAAAGTACTCCATAAAAAGGAAACAATTCCAGATGGGCGGTAGAGATGGGGAAGCATAATCAAGCCATTTCCTTGTTCAACTTGACAGCTTATGATAAACAATGGACCTTTAGTATGCTATGTTTTCAAACAATAGATTATCCATAAAAGAGAACTGTCAAAAATTTGCTGAATTTTATAGTTGATTTCTTAGCAATTTCTCGCGTTTGCTGATTTCTATCCTGTAGCTGCGTAAAATTTGTGGATCACAGAGGGAAAAGACAAGTAAATTGAAAACAGTAGAGAACGAATACAAAGAACATAACATTCTCAAACTGCCTTTGAATCTCTGAATAAGCAAGTAACGAAAGAAAACATCTAAGGACCTATGGCAGTAATAGAATTTTCTACTTGCATGATTTGCAAATGCAAGTGTTTGCCTGCCAACATAAAATGCAGAACTGTTACCTTTAGCATGCCCATGTAGAACCATGTGACTTGAATGCATAGACTTAAAACTTAAATGACACTATGAGGAACTTCGAACAAATGAATATCATGAGACCACATGTAACTAGAATGCAAACTGAAGTAGCAATCATGTAGCTGATCAAAAAGAAATTCTCTGAGCATGCTAAATGTTCTCTCAAGTAGCTAATTAAAAAGAAAAGATGGACTCAGATGACAATGTCCATTGTCAAACAAGATCTTTTACAAACTATCAAGTAAGAAGGCTGCAGATGAAGAACCTGATGAGCACGCTTGAATACCCCAATATCATTTCCGTATGCAGCAAATGTATAGTCACGATATGATGCAAGAGCCCGAATCTTCTTTGCAAGTTGAGGACCTTTCAAGAAAGTCCAAACATCAATAAGGAGCCAGTCTCGAAGATTTAATCACAGATAACAAAACAAAGCTAAAGTTGAATCCTTTTTAGTTTGTCTATCCAGCAACTACGGCTGAACAAAGTTAGAGAAAAGAAAACTATTTCATGAAATTGCATTCTGAATGCTTTGGATGAAGAAACCTAAACCCAGTCTCTTTGAGACTACTTGTAAAATCCTAAAAGAAAAAGAAGGTTGTTGATTCAATAGTCAGATGTCATGCAAATACTTATTGTCCAGAATATACATAATGACATTTTTCCTTCCATTTTCAACATTAAAACAATGTACCATCATGCTGCTCCAAAGGGTTTAGATATAGCAAATAATTATAGCATCAAGACAAGGTCCATGTATATTCTTTCAAGTTGCAGCCCCAACTTTAAAAACAATAATAATAAATTAAAGTAGCATGTTATTTCTTTTTTGGTCAAATGCAGGTTTTTTAAATGGAATTCTATCAATTTCAAACTGGTATAGATGAATACAATTTAGTCACTCTCACTGTAATTATGACCCCCCACATAACATTTGGCTAGTCACCGGTGAATCTAACACAATCTCATGTACCACAAGCATTTGAAAATGCAAATAACAAGCCCTCAAATAGTAAATAATGTTAAACTAGCATGAATCTAGATATCTAAAAGTTAATCATTCTCCCTCCATTTCACAAAAGCAAATGCATTTCTCCTTGCAAGTTCAAACCCGCTACTTTCCCCATGGAAAATTCCAACGTCAAATGGATAGGGACTTAACATATTGTTAACACCAATAATTTTTGTAATTTTTAATGTAATGAACAAATTTTAAGAGAAAACTTGCATCAATTTTCAAGGTAAAAGATTCATTGTTTTATGCCAGTCTGGCTCCAATATACAGACCTCGCTGAAAACCAAAGAATTGACCAGGTTTCAGCAGGATGATTGTGAGAACAACAGCAAGCACCTTAATGAAGTCCCCACAACCAGTGATATGGGCCTAAAACAATACTAAAAAGGAAGCCCTGGTTTTGCTATGGGTCATGTTCTAAGATTCCTGAGGGCCCGTGTATCCTTCTTTCACAGAAAAAGATTCATCTAACAGCACAAGTTATAGTAAAACGAATAAATAAACTTACCAACGAGAACCAGGCTGAGCTTACCACACTGTCAAAGGAAGAAGAAGAAAGCATGTTATGTTGATTTCGGTTAGAGTCTTGAATACAAACCACATAACAAGAAAACATAGAATTAATACAACTAAAAGCAACTGAATTAATATAAATTTTAAGCTTTCTTACGTTGTAAATCTGCCAGGCTTTCCCGACGCTGACTGTGACGAAGGTCTCGGTGCCCAATCTTTGAACGGAGAAAGGAACGCTACTCGTAATGTATCCAATAGCACGAAAGGGTTCGAATATCCCCATTATGTTGTGTAACAGCAAAAGAAAGAGGGGTGGAGGGAGCCAGGGAGGTGAAGAAAGGACCAGATGAATTAGGGTTTTGGTTTCAGTTTTAGGGGTTTATGGAGAAACGCCACCTCAGATGCCAAAGGGACCCACCTCATACTCCGAATCCGAACCAACCGAATTTGAGGCTCCAAATTTCTTATCGGGCATTGTAACGGGTTCGGGCTTACCGGCTTACTAAAAATGGGAAAATGAAGAAGTGAACTTCAATTCTTTTTCTTCCCCTTGGGTTTGGGTTTGGGTTTGGGTTTGGGTTTTTCTCGCAGCTCCGCTCTACATTTTGATGAATTAATCTAATTTATTAAATATATGTTAGAATGGTATTCGTGTAATGCACCAACCAACGAGATAAATCTTTATTTTAATGGCTATTTTTATTCTTTGTTTTTATCGATATAATACAATTTTATATGGTTTTGAGAAAACGATAATGTTTTTATTATTTAAATAAAATATAAATTTGAAAAAAATAAAATTGATATTAATATCAAGTTAATTATTTAATAGTTATCGTTTTTTGGTGTAATTTATTTTCAAGTATTTT